TACGGTTGGAACTGTTGATTCGCCGAACATAACGGAACGACATGGAGATGAAGAAAACTGGGACATTTTCTAATTTTTCTTAGATTTTTGCCGGAAGTTGTCATCGCACGCTTCCGAACGTCTTCCTGATTTGCGACGTAAACGTGTATCGAGCCTATTTCTTCAAAATAATTGCAAAGATTTGGTACATTTGGATTCCTAATCAAACATAATAGAACAATTCATTACTATAAAATACTTAAAATACATGTTATCAATTAAGTTAACTCCGAGGGCGCAATTTTTGTTCTTCAGAATTGGCCCAACTGATCCAGAACTACAACAAATTGAAGTTCATTTACCACTTTTCCCTCATTGTGATACAAACTGTCTTATAAATTAAAGATTCAGTTTCAAATATAATTCATCACAGGTTTTTTTTTGAGGAACTGTTGTATTTGGAAGACAAAGTACAATGAATTTTAAAATACCTCTTGACAGTTTCACTTTTGTCTTTGCCACGCTCGACGTCCCTTTGTTGCATAATTTTCATTTTCAAAACCCGTGAGCGATCAAAAACCCAGATTACTCACGCCGGATGTCACTGTTTACACGACATTCGGTGATCTGACAACTCTGGAAATCAGACCGCGATCAGATTTTCGGGTGTGCGCGTAAACAGAGCAGGTTTCGTACATCGTCGTCGACATTATTTCATGCGATCGTGTATTTACATAACTTTATTTTCCCTTTGTGCACAATGCAGCCAGTGACAGTAAAGAGAAGTGGAAGTACCAGGATGAGGAAGTGAGTGAGGGCTGCTCCAGGAATCCTGTCTCCTCTGATTCCCAAAACTCATCAGATTTAGTTTCAGCTTTGTGAGAATTGGACTACTATTTTTTTTTTTTTTTACTTTTAGTTTTTCCTGAACACGCATTTTACCAAGATCAGTTTTAGTTTTTACTTGAAAATGATGTAATTTCTCAACGAGATTCGTGCACATACTCTATTTTGGGAATTCTGGTGACTCTAATCTCTCAAAATGAAATGAAATCAAATCTAATTTTATATTTTTACTGTCTTAAATAATCTCAAAACAGAGCGAGTTTGTTGTAAAGGGTTTGGAGTTCTTCCTCGCTTACTTTTTTGCATTCAGAGCATTTTAATTATTCACCAGGATGAGTTTATAAGCGTTTTTTTCACAACTTTCAGACACCAGGGCAACAACAACAACTACTGCCATGCTAACAACGCACTTCCTGATTACTGTGCAACAAAACACTTTAGATCAGGGGTGTCAAACTCAAATTCACATTGGGTCAAACTTAAAAACTGGGATCAAGTCATGGGCCAAACTAAATATTTATTGAAAAAATAACATCTGCATGTTTTTTCTTCTTTTGAGATTTGTAAAGTTAAACCTTTTCTTCTTTTGTTTTACTTAAGCATTGAATCCAGAAAAAGCAGAATATAAAATAATTTGGTAACACTTTAGTTTAGGGAACACGTATTAATCGATAACTAAGTGGTAATTGGTTTGTTAATTAACTGTTACTTAGTTATTAGTTGGTATTAATCAAACATTTATTAATGCTTATTAAGATTTCAGTGTTTGCACAAAAACATCAGGTGTAATCTCCAAAACTTTAATGGGAAGAAAATAATTAATGGGTTAGTACTCGCAAAACACAACCTTAGACGAAAATGCATTAAAAGTACTTTATAAATACTAACAAAGATGTAATTAAACACTTATTATGCATTTTACTGTTAACTAACTACTAATATGTGTTCCCTAATCTAAAGTGTTACCCAACATTTTAAATAAATAATCTCTATAGTCTGTCTGTAGCCGGCGAGCAGCTCTAATACATGTTTAATATGATATCACGGGCCAAATATAATTATATCACGGGCCAAATTTAGCCCCCGGGCCTGAGTTTGACACATCTGCTTTAGATGGAATTAGATGCCGATCGTAATGACCTCAAACACGGATTTTACTAAGACTATTTTTAGTTTTTACTTGAAAAATCACGTAATTTCTCAACGAGATTCATGCACATACTGTATTTTGGGAATTTTCTGATGACTCTAATCTCTCAAAATGAAACAAAATCAAATCAAATTATTTATTTTTCACTCACTTAAATAATTTAAAAACAGAACTAGTTCATTGTAAAGGGTTTGGAGTTTGGTCCAAAGTTCTTCCTCACTTTAATTATTCACCAGGATGAGTTTATAAGCGTTTTTCACAACTTTCAGACACCAGGGCAACAACTACTGCCATGCTAACAACGCACTTCCTGATTACTGTACAACAAAACACTTTAGATGGAATTAGATGCCGACCGTAATGACCTCAAACCGACCGCATTTTACCAAGACTATTTTTAGTTTTTACTTGAAAATGACGTCATTTCTCATCGTGCTTCGAGCACATATTGTATTTTGGGAATTTTCTGATGACTCTAATCTCTCAAAATCAAACAAAATCAAATCAAATTATTTATTTTTACTCACTTAAATAATTTGAAAAACAGAATTAGTTTGTTGTAAGGGGTTTGGAGTTTGGTCTAAAGTTCTTCCCCTTAGACACTTTAGATGGAATTAGATGCCGACCGTAATGACCTCAAACCGACCGCATTTTACCAAGACTATTTTTAGTTTTTACTTGAAAATGACATCATTTCTCAACATGCTTTGTGCACATACTGTATTTTGGGAATTTTTTGATGACTCTAATCTCTCTAAAAATGTCTTTAAAATGTGAAAATCAGAGCTGGTTTGTTGTAAAGGGTTTGGAGTTTGGTCGAAAGTTCTTCCTCACTTACTTTTTGCATTCAGAGCATTAATAATTTGCAGTAATTATTCACCATGATGAGTTTATAAGCGTTTTTCACAACTTTCAGACACCAGGGCGAGTTTTGCCATGCTAACAATGCACTTCCTGATTACTGTCCAATAAAATACTTTAGAAGAAATTAGATGCAGATCGTCATAACCTCAAAAAACCACGTACAGGACCTCAAATACCTATGATTAGAGTTATATTTTACATTTTAAACTTATTTAATTTTGGGATTGACGTTGTTTCCAGAAAAAAACTGCGTGAATTGTTTGGGTTTTTTTATGCTCTGAGCTCATTTTCCGTCTGATAAAGCTAAAAGTTGGTGCACGTTCATTTAAATCCCTGTGAATACCAAAGAATTTAGGGCTTCTGAGAACTTGGAACTAGTCAGATCGTTAAATCCTGACTTCCCCCTTTTACGGTTTATGGAGCTTTAATTGTAAAAGTTTCACAAAGCAAAATTGCCCTCACTACACCTTACCAATCTACTTCTCTTTACTGCCATATCGATTTTGTATCAGTGTATTTTGTGATTTGACATAAGGACATGTGGTTACGCTGATAATAACTACACCTTAATAAAGCATGAAGAAAGACTTAATTCATAATGAACAAATAGTGTGCGAATAGTTGACGTAAAAGGTAGAAAAGCAGAATATAAATGTGACTTTTTGCCATTTAATTAGGAGATTAGTTGGAGGAGTTGTTGTGGTTGGTCAGTTAATTAAATAGTTACTAAACCTGGATCATTATTGCAGATCTATGGACCTTTTTCACAACGGCGTAAAGGGTAAAAAAGGGTAAATGTCGCTTACGTTAATGGTTTTCTAAGGCAAAATATCTGTGGAAATGTCTCGTGTATTTTCCAGCAGCTTCGTAAATCTGCCCCATCACCAAATCTTCAACCAACAAGGTCCACAAACAATTAACATTCTTCTTTTTTTCGTGGAGCAGCATTAGGATTTGTTCGCTCGACGGTACTACTTTTTTAAATTTAACCAATCGCTGCTGTTTGGTCGTGATGTTCGTAATGCAGACAAACAGCAAACAAACCAGAGCGTGAACATGTCTGTCAACGATCACTGTCGTTTCTGCGAGGTGAACTAAAGGTGCAATAAAAAATGTGAAGTTTGTATTTGACAAAGGAAGTCCAAAGGAGGATAGAGTACATATGCAGTCTGGTATCGCAATTCGGGGTTGGTTTTGTTCTTCGCCTGATTGGCCGGAGCGCGGTCTACAACTTCAGGAATTTTCTTGAAAATCGTCTAGTGTATTCTGATTCCTGACCTAGTCGCTGGAGAGAAATGAAATTGAGCGGCGGCAATGGCTACTTCATCCGTGTATCATTCATTCATTCGTTTTTCAATATAAAACCAAAAATAAGACAACGAAAAAACAGTTTTCTTTGTTATTTGTCTCCAAAACCAAAATGAAAAAACAGATAACGATTTGTTTTTTCAGTTTTCGATTTTGTGTTTAAATGAAGAATGGAAAAAACGGATAACAACCGTTTCCCGTATACGTGACTTCCGTGACTGCGATGCCGAACTTTTGCACCGCATCCGGACTGAACCAGGACTGATCCAGGTCCGGGACCAGAGCGGGACCAGGGCGGGACCAGAGCGGGACCAGAGCGGGACCAGGCGGGACCAGGGCGGGACCAGGGCGGGACCAGAGCGGGACCAGGGCGGGACCAGAGCGGGACCAGGGCGGGACCAGGGCGGACTCTGAGCTTTGACTCCGAGCCTCCGTGGTGTCCGAGCCTCAGCTTCGAGCTCCGGTCCTGCCTTGGGTTCTGAGCCTCCAGTCTGGTCCCGGCCTGATCCTGGCCTGGGTCTCAGTCTCGGTCTGGTCTCGGTCTCAGTCTGGCTCTGGTCCCGGTCTGGTCTCAGTTTCGGTCTGGTCATGGTTTCAGTTCTGATCTCAAGTCTCGGTCTGGTTTCGGTCTCAGTCCCGGACCTGGATCCTGGTTCAGTCCGTATGCAGCGACAACGAATCGTTATCCGTTTTTTCATTTTGGTTTTGGAGACAAATAATGAAGAAAACAGTTGTTTTTTTCATTTTCTTATTTTTGGTTTCATACTGAAAAACGACTGAACGAATGATACACAGATTCTACTTATCCACAACTAACAAGGTAAGAAAGACAAAATCTTAAAGGAAACGACAACGACGCATTAGTGAACTACTGAGCAACACTAATGTTATGGTCATGAATAAAACAGAAGTAATAAGTAACTCATTAATCAGTAACTTGTTCACTCAGACTGATTCTAGATGCAGATCACAGGTCACCAAACATTATCGTCCTGACTGTGATGGAGGCCGTAGAACAGAATAGTTTGACCCTGACGACGCAGATTATATTCTTTGAAAACCTCCACACTTTCTTTACACATCAGACAAACTGCTCAGTCTTTACACTGAACAAAAAAATAATCGGTCGTCCACTGTTCTTTGAAAACTCTGCACTCTCTGTAAACTTTTCACACTTTAACACGAGTCATTTTGTTGAATTTACAGAACTCTGCTCATGCGTCGACTGTCACTGTTTGATCGCGAGTTTGTCAGGTGATGAAAATTCAGCTGCAAATGTAATACGTCACATAATTATTATAAATACTTCATATAAATATCATTTTTTTATTGAACCATCAACAAAATACAAGATGCAGCTGTGTTATTATTTGCCAAAAACTACTTCAAAAAAAAAAATCGACCATGACAACTTTTGAGGATTGCCTCATGGGACCAGTTCAAGTGGTGGGGGGAGGAAGGTTGGGGTCCGGTCAAAGGGGCGTACAGGGCCAGATTCGGCCCGTGGACCTTAGTTTGATGACCCCTGATGTAGATTTTGGCGTACGTAGATAAAGATGTTCACAGATTATTATTCAAACTGCACAAATCTCTCTGTCTATGCAAATATCGACATCATGAAATAGATTTTTTATTTTAATTCTAGAATCAGTCTGAGTGAAGTTACTTCTGTTTTATTCACGACCATCACGTTGGTTTTGCTCAGTGGTTCATTAATGTGTCGTCGTTGTTGTTTGCCTTTAAGTTTTCGTCTTTCTTACCCTGATAGTTGTGGATAAATCCTTCATGTTAGAATGTTTATCTTTTGTGGATCTTGTTGGTTGAAGTTTGGCGATGGGGCAGATTTACGAAGCTGGTGGAAAATACGCGAGACATTTCCACAGATATTTTGCCGCAGAAAAGCAAAGTGACGTTTATCCCACTTTCAGCCGTTGTGAGAAATCTCTGTTTGTTCATTAAGAATTCAATCATGCTTTTAGGACGGAGAAGTCGGTGTAGTTATTACGAAGCGTTCACAGACTCGCTAATACCGGTGCTCCCCTCTCGTGATATGCGACGAAAACTCATATCTATCCTGGCTCCGGTGTCCGCACAGATTGCATTCGAGCGGGTCTCTGAAACCGTGGCAGCCCATGTGAATCGTGTACATGACGTGATCCAGGAACAGAACTCGGCAGTGTTCACACCTGTACGCCCGCACCTGCTCGCCGTCCGACGTCAGGACCTTAAAACCTTCCGACGCGAGCTCCAGCCCCACGCGCATCGCCTCGTACTGCCTCTGCTGCTCCTCCTTGACCAGCGGGATCACGCCGTTCCTCGCCGCGGAGGTGATGTGATTGGTTAAGTAGATGAGCCCGGCGGCGGCGCCCCCGGCCGGTCGGTCCTCGTTGTTCTCGGTGTCGTCGGTGCTTTCGTGCCCGCTGTGGCTCGGGGAACCATCTTTCTCGCTGGAGGCGGACTTGGATTTGGAGAGCAGGAGCAGGTTCTCGGCGGCGCTGTCTTTCGCCGACAGGTTGTGCGGGGTGGAGTTGTCGTTTTGAGGTTTGTGGAGCGGGAACATGGAGCCCAGGCCGACGTCGGAGGAGGAGCCGGGTGAGGTTTGGACCAAGGGGCGTAAGGATTCGGCGCCGAGGTAACTGATGGCGCTGTTTATGGCCTGGTCGATCACGTGAGGCTGCATCAGGTCTGCGGAGGCGGTGTCGTAGGAGAGGTCCGACAGACGCTTGTCACCTGAAATGAAAAATACATTTGGGTGAATAAAATGGATAAACTTAAATAAATATACACCGTTTTTATTCCCTTAAGCACCAAACCAGAAGTGCAAAATTAAAAGTATTTAGTCGTGTCTGTATTTGCAGTAAACACATTTTTACACAGCTTCTATTTGCACTTTTACAGCTACTGAAGAGGCACCGAAACCACTGATTAAAGTTTCATGATGTAACTTTTCTGCTGGAGGGTTTGCTACCTGCCTGTCTGTCTTCATGGAGGTGTTTATTTATTAATTTTTATAGTTTTTTGGCATTACACACATTTATCTTGCATTTACTCAATTTCAGCTGGTTTTCTTGCTCAAAACACTTTGCCTCTCCACTGATCTGATCTGTAACTTTGCCTGGTGACATCATGTGTTTGTCTCTATTCAAATATATGTATATGTGTATTCGGGTGCATCATTTCAGAAATTCAACTTGTACCCAATTTTAAAATGTGACAATACCAATTAAAAGAAAATCTGTGGAATATTTGCTCAATTAAATAAAATCCAACACCAAGTCTCTTAAGCTGTTTTCTATCCTAACAGTGTCCATAAGGCTCTGGCAGAAAAAACCTTAAAAATTATGATTTTTATTATTATTTATTTTTATTTTCATTTATGATGATGATGATTATTATTATCATTATAATTTTAATAATTATTTATAATAATTATTTATTCAAGGTCCTTGAAGTCCCAAAGAAATGACACTTTTCCCAATGATGATAGAAACATAAAACTGATACCAAATGATCTGCAATGTCCATATTTATATTCTATATTTATATAATATATATTATATATATAATAAATATAATATATATTATATTTTTGGCTCAGATTTAAGGCTTGGTGGACCCAGTAAACATCAATAGAATTTCATGAAATTTCTCATGAAATTGATACTTGGTACGGATTGATTTTCAAAAATGTTTCAAAAAGTTGGGCAAATGATGCTCCCTAATGTATGTATTTATTTGTAAATATTTGTAGAGTTTCATCATCATTGTGCAGCAACCACATCATTGTTTTATTTTTGAAAGTCTGTCATGAATAGGGGTTAATAGTATTTCTAAAACGGGGGTCTTTTTAAAATCGGTACCTAAAGATTCCTGTACCTCACAGCCTTAACTAGGCTGCACGCTCCAGTTTAATCACTCCTTGGGCCTGTGTACAGCTGTGTCTCATTTTCGTGCAGGCACCACTGACTGCATACAGCAGGGGGAAAGTTTTTTTTTTTACAAAGTGTCTATTAATATAAGGTTTTCTTCTTCCTACTCCTCAGGGTTCCCATGGTCATGGAAATCCTGGAAAAGTCATGGTATTTTGTAAATTCAGTGGAAGTTTTGGAAATGTCTTTCATGCAACTTCATCGTTCTCATGAGGCTGTTATGATTATTTCCGAACGTCTGTGCCTTTTGAAAAGAGACGACAGTAAATGCACTGACAGGATTTTGAAAGTTAAAAAACTATAATCCCAAACCATAAGGCGAGTGGAAAGAGTTAACGTTTCATATTTAGCCCTAAAAGTCTGATCAATCCTACACATGTAGGTGCCGTAAAATCATGGAAAATTCACTATAGGTCATGAAAAAATCTTAGGAATATTTTGACATTTTGTGAGTGAAAAAGAGTGGGAACCTTGACTCCTTTTTGAGAAATGTGCTTTTATGTTGTTTACAGTGTATATGTAGTAGAGATGTAACGATCTCCAAATCTTTCGGTACAATATTATCACGATATTTTGAAGAGATTGAGATTTTTTGCTTTTAAAATACCTTGACAAGATTTTGGTGTGAATTATTTCCCTGATAATCCCAAGAATTCAAGTAAAAACATATAAATTCATGTTGTCTGCACTGAAATGAATCATGGGATATGTAGTTCCCCGATGTTTATAAGATTCTATAATCCCATGCATTTACGCAAAGAAACTTGTAATTCGATATATTCGTGACGAAAAAAGACGATTCTATATCACGATATTTTGATTATTGTTACATCCCTAATATGTAGTATGAAGAGTTTATGATTATTGTTTCTCGAAATAAAAACAAATCAATCAGTCAGTATAAGTTTAACTCCAAACTGTTGAACATTTCAGGCAAAGCAAAATCTCAGAAAAGTTATGCACTTTTAATCCTACTTTTAAAAATGTAAACTTCCTTCAGTGTGCACAAAACTTTTACAACAGTATTCCACAGTATCAGCTCGAACTTTTGGAGTGATTTGTCTGATGTGAGTATAATAATGCGTTGGTAAAGGAAGCAGCGCTTACCCACAAACTTCTGTGGCATAGAGCTCTTCCGTTTAGCTACATTATTGGCCAGTCTGTCGAGCACCAAGGCTCTGTCACAGCCAGACTGCCCCATGTCCTCCCTCCCATCACTGTGGCTCTCCTCCTTCACTACTGCAAAACACAACACAGGAGGAAGACTGTCAGACACCTACAGAGGAGGCCTGCCGCACGTCTATCGAGCTCCTCTGTGCTTTTAAAGTCCACACAAGCGCCTGAGTTAAAAACACAACTCAGGAGGGGCACCGTTTGAAAACCTCTATCAAGCTCGTCTGTATTTTTTTTTACGCCCATACATTACCTTTCCTACGCTGCGACATCCCCAAATCTCAGATAAAATAAGTTGCTTTCCAAATATAGATGCATCAAGAATTTTGGACGTCCGGTCATCGCACAATCCATGTACTGGAGAAGAATCCTCCGAAAAAGTGACCATCAAACCGACATGTTTGTTTTCCCAGTGGGATGTTTCTATTGTCAAAGTCGATCTTTTCAAGTCTTTTGAACTATGTCGCTTTTGTTTCTGGTTCTGATATTGTCATATTTTAGTTTTGGGATTCGGACATCGTTAATTGTTGTGGTTGTTGGATCCTAACAGCGGAAAACGGCTGGAGAAATTAGTTTGCGAACTCCATAAATGCAAAAGGGAATCAGATGTGTGTGACTCAAACCTCTGTTCAAACTGTTTCTCTTCCCAACGGAATTGAAAAATAGTGAAAGGTGAAGGTGATGGGCAGGATTGATCCACAAAAAGGACCAAAAAGGAAACATTTGACTGACTAAATCATCCTGAGTTTGCAGTGAACATTTTTTATGTGGAGCGACAACAAAACAAAATCCCGATCCTTCGCTCAACCTCGGTTATGAATTTAAAAAGTCAACGCCAAAGTGAAAGTCTCCAACTGTTCACCAAGAAACACCTTCCACTGCAAAGAGACCAAGACGTGATGTTGCTGTAAAACCACAAGAACAAGAAAGTGCAGCTCAGTCTGTTTGTCTTCTTCACCTCTCGGTTAACAAACAGGATCCCGCTTTGTTGTCGCTCCACATACAAAATGTTCTCTGCAAACTCAGGATGATTTCTTAGTCAGTCAAAGTTTTCCTTTTTGGTTCTTCCTGTGGATCAATCCTGCCCATCACCTTCACCTTTCACTATTTTTCAATTCCGTTGGGAAGAGAAACAGTTTGAACGGAGGTTTGAGTCACACACATCTGATTCACTTTTGCATTTATGGAGTTCGCAAACTAATTTCTTTCTTGAGCCGTTTTCCGCTGTTAGGATCCAACAACCACAACAATTAACGAAGTCCGAATCCCAAAACTAAAATACGACAATATCAGAACCAGAAACAAAAGCGACATGGTTCAAAAGACTTGAAAAGACTGGAATCTCAATAGACACATCTCACTGGGAAAACAAACACGGTGGTTTGATGCTCACTTTTTCAGAAAATCCTTCCCAATGTGGATTGCACGATGACCGGAAGTCCGTGAAATTCTTGAAGCATCTATTACTGATTATTGTAAGTTGTAGAATGTGAAAGCGGCTGAGTTTGTGCGTACAGACCTGGGTAGATGTTGTTCTGCAGCCCCATACACTGCAGATAGTTATGGCAGCGCTCTTTGTGCTCCTCCAGCGAGCTCCTCTGTTTGTAGCTCCGCCCACAGTACGCACACTTGTGAGGTTTGCCCACTGCAACACACAGACACAATCACAGGTTAATGTAACAGCAGATTTGACAATAACGGCAGAGAATAGTTAACCAGGCTGGGGCCACCTAATGCCTCCGCTCAGTTTCATTTCTCTCCAGCCACTAGATCAGGAATCAAAATACACTAGATCACAGGTGTCAAACATAAGGCCCGGGGGCCAGATCCGGCCCTCCAAGACCTTTAATGTGGCCCTCGGCTGATTTTCTACTAAAATATTTAAATTATATTTTCTATTAAAATATTGTTAATTTTCTGTGGTGTTTATCACAGCAGCGTCTCCAGCGTCTCTGTGCGTGGCCCCTCCCACCAGAGCAACACAAATAAAGGACGATCATTTTGACTGTTGACCGTGACACCCTCGTCAGCAAAATGTCCAAAATGAGAAAAGTGGAGCCGAGTGCAGGATTTTACAAGAAAAACTGACTTATTCCTATGTTGAATAAGTCAGTTCATGTTAAAACATTGTGTTGAAATTGCATTTTTATTAAAGTTTCAGGTTCATAATATTATAATATTTTGTAAAAGGGTTCATCAATTAAAAAATATTTCTGTAATAGATTTGCGTTTCTCTGCACAAATATTTGAACTTATTGTTATTTTTGGGGTTTATATGCCAGGAGTTTTCTGATCCGGCCCCTTTGGATCAAAGTAGGTTGGATACGGCCCCCGGACCAAAATGAGTTTGACACCCCTGCACTAGATGGTCTGCATAAACCCCGGAAGTGCGAGTCCGGGCACCAGCCAATCAGCGAAGAGCCAAACATTCAGTGTTGTCAACGATTCTCAAGATTGAGGATTTAAAGCTGGAATAAAGAGAATGTTTGGTGAATTTCGTCAAGGGGAAAGACGTTATTGTCCTTCTTCCTACTGGATTTGGGAAAAGCTTTAATATACCGGTTGACCTCGTTAGTTCTGCATTACATATGTCACGACCAAATAACAGCGATTGGTTAAAGGTTGTATGGAGGATTTTTTTTTGTTTCAAATTGTCAGTAAAAGTTTAAAATACCATTACAGAGATGCAGCAGTTTTGTAATTATGATGACCAAAAAAAAAAAAGAATGAAAATCTATCAACCGTGGACATAATGAGGCCAGATAAACATCAGCCAATACAAAACGAGGCTCCCTCATTTTTTATTGGCTTAGCTGAGTTAGTTTACATTAGTTACGTTCCTTATTAGTTTTATTATACATATTGCGCTAAATAACTCTTTCATTTTCTTATTTTTGGTTTTATTTTGAAAAATGAATGAAAAAATTATACACGGATTAAGAAGGAGGCAGGAGGAGGCGTTTCTATTTATGAAAAATTTGCGTTTCCTTGTTAAATCCTCTACACAACCTTTAACATCGTGCTTGTGTAGTTCGTTTCTAGTCTTTGTGTGGTTGTTTTACCTGAGTGCGTGCGCAGGTGTCCGGTGAGGGCGTCTCGGCGGCGGCAGGCGTAGCTGCACAGGTGACATTTAAAGGGCTTTTCTCCAGAGTGAAGCTTTATGTGCCGGAGCAGGTTTCCCTTCTGAGTGAACGAGGCCCCGCACTGACTGCACTGGAACGGACGCTCGCCTGGAAACACACACAACCAGACAAGTGTGAGGAAAAATACGCACACGCCAGGCCTCAGATTGAAGCGTAACAGCAAAAATGAGGAAAAAAATCTGGCAAAACTGACAGAAATTCAAATCGAAGGCTTTTAGTAATTCACATGTGCAAACTAGTGGCACATTCAGACTTATTTAACGGACTTTTTGAGAATAAAACGTCACTTTTTGGTTCTGAACAGCAACACAAAAAAGCTCTTTTGCCCCAGTTTTGTTTCCACGGTAAAAGAAACAACAGTATTCATTTGTACCAATACGTTTTTCAGCTTTTCTTTAGTATACGTGGGAGTAAATTAGTCAGCAGAGATTGGCAATTCCAGGACCGAATTATCCAAATGATTCTAGTGAAAGTGTTTGGAGTGTAAAAACACAACTGAACACTTCCAGTATTACCACATGACACACGAATTTTCCATCTGAGAGAAGAAATCAGTGTAAATGTGCAGGGTTTGTGTGTTAAAATGTGTGAATGAAACAAAACACAACACCAGGTCTGTTTTTGATGAGGATAAAAGATGATAAAATAGATCTCTGATATAGATAGATTTCAGTTCTCAATAAAAATGTTATGAGTAAGATTAAAGATGGCTGTTAAACTACCACTTCATGACATCACAAGGTGGAACATTTTGAGTTTTGGAGATTTGGATCACTCAAACATGTGTGAATGAAACACGCAAACACGCAACTTCAGGTAGTGTTGTAGTGAAGAGCGCACTGTCCGAGACCAAGACCTGTCCGAGACCACAGGGACAAGACCAAGACCTCTGAGGGTCGAGACCGAGACAAGACCGAGTCAAGACCGAGACTTTTACAGGCGGAGATCGAGACAAGACCGAGACTTTTAAAAGGTTGAGACCGAGACAAGACCAAGACCTCGAGGGTCGAGACCGAGACAGAGAGACTGAGAGACTTTTAAAAAGGTTGAGACCGAGACAAAGACCAAGACCTCGAGGGTCGAGACCGAGACAAGAACGAGTCAAGACCGAGACAAGACCGAGACTTTTAAAGGTGGAGATCGAGACAAGACCGAGACTTTTAAAGGTTGAGATCGAGACAAGACCGAGACTTTTAAACACGGAGACTGAGACAAGACCGAGATTTTTAAAGGTTGAGACTGAGACAAGACCAAGACCTCTGAGGGTCGAGACCGAGACAAACGCAAATCTGGTCACACTAACCTCGAGTCGTGTCCTTTAATTCCAACAGAAGTTGAACCACATCAGCGACACAAGAGCTGATTTTTTTCCCCGCTTAGTTTATGCAAATTAGCCGTGAGGTTTTAAGTTTCGTTTCTGTGAGAGTTGCGCAAATCTGCTTTAAACACATTATAATAAACGGGCTGATGTGGCTCTAGAGTGGTTACGGTTTATATGTCATAAAGTTGAATTTATTTATGCAGATTAGTCGTGCAGATAGTAATAATAATGATGATCGTTAATTCTCACGACGATCGATTAAGAAAATTTAAACAAATGCCCATCCTTAAACAAAACAGAGGAATACGCGCCCTTTAAATCCATCCATCCATTTTCTTCCACTTGTCCGGGGCCAGGTCACGAGGGCTGCAGTCTAAACAGGAACTCCCAGACTTCCCTCACCCCAGACACGTCCTCCAGCTCCTCCGGGGGACCCTGAGGTGTTCCCAGGCCAGTCCAGAGACATAGTCCCTCCAGCGTGTCCTGGGTCTTCCCCGGGGCCTCCTCCTGGTGGGACATGCCCAGAACACCTCCCGAGGGAGACGCCCAGGAGGCATCCAGAACAGATGCCCGAGCCTCAACTGGCTCCTCTCGACGTGGAGGAGCAGCGGCTCTACTCCGAGCTCCTCCCGCATGACTGAGCTCCTCACTCTATCTCTAAGGGAGCACCCAGATGCCCTGCGGAGGAAACTCATTTCGAGCGCTTGTATCTGCGATCTCGTCCTTTCGGTCACTACCCAGAGCTCATGACCAGAGGTGAGGGGAGGAACGAAGACTGACGGTAAATCAAGAGCTTCGCCTTTCAGCTCAGCTCCTCTTCACCACAACGGTCCGATACAGCGACCGCATCACTGCCGAAGCCGAATCTCAGGGCCCTTTAAATCGTGCATTCTGACAAAAAAATTAAAACAAAAACCGTAGATTCTGCACGCGCGCGAGTACGTGAACGAAACCTCCGCCCTCCCCTGCGCCTAAACTCGTTTTAATTACAGCCCGTGTCGCGTATTGTATGGAAATGGGTTCCGGCTGTGAGAACATGGGGTCATCGCCCTACGAGCCCCCCCCCCCCACACACACCGCCGCCGCCGCCCCAACGATCCTCCCCGAAGATGGAACAGCCGCACTCCCCTCCCTCCCCCCCCTCCCCTCCCCCTCTCTCTCCGTCTCTCTCCGCTCCTGCCAGCTTCGTAATGCACCATTGCGTGGGTCAATTTGATCTCCGAATCTCATTTTTTCTCCCCCCCCTCCACCTCCTCCTCCTCCTTCTTCTTCTTTTCTAAACTAAGCGGCCCCCCACATCACAATGCAAATTCACTTCTCATTTGAATAAAGCGAAGGAGGGTGGAGAGAGAGAGAGAGAGAGCAATGTTGAGAGGCAGTCTTCCTGATCAACGCCCCTGGAATAAACCAATATATCCAACCGAACCCGCGCGGCTGTTGTGGCATTCTCGTTTTAATACGTCTTTTCTTAAACATCTCACCCCCCTCCTCCCGCCGTTTCGTAATATAAGAGTCACCAGTGAAGCAGCAAAAATATATGAAAAGGATACTCATTAAAAAGGCATTTCGGGAGTGGAGAGATTCTGCGCTCAATACTTTTTCTATTTAAAACGAGGCGGTTCATTATATCTTTTATTGTAGTGTCTCGCGCATTTACATCGGCCTATCCTATTCTCCATTTTGAGTTTTCATTAGTTTTCGAGGCTTGACAGTTAAGAGCCTTTTTCAGCACCACTGGTTTTGACTCGGTAACAAAAGAATACCAATTTTGATTTTTGAAAAACTTTTAATAGACGGATAATTGTCACTCGGCGCGGATCCACGGTAATTGCAGATTTCCGAGAGCCGAGCTGAGAGAAGTTTTTTTTTTTTTCTTCTCTCTTCGTGACTTTTTGCAGAAACGACGGGAGGGTTTTGTGGCGGTTTCGGATAAACAATAAACAATAAACAAACGATAATGCGAAATCAAAGAGACTATTTCATGCACCAAAGGGAAAGGCGCCGTAGACTGCGTTAAAGCTACGCCGCGGGACTTTTCCTTTGGGGATCCGACGTGCGCTTGACTCCACAAAGGTTTTATTGCTTTGCCTGGAATGTTTCACACTGTGGCATTAAACAAAAAAAAAAACGTACTACGACTTACTGTGATCCAGGTGTGCAAAAATATCAAAATGTAAACATATCGTGATACTAAATTTGGTATTTTTTGATTCCATTAAGCACTGTTTTTGTTGTTATACTATAATTTTGTTGTTTTTTTAGTAAAAACAAGCTTGTTAATGCAGTAAACTTGACATATTTTCTCAGTTTTGATGATTAAAATTGAGGCATTTCATATTAACTTAGCACAGGTTAAACTATTTTTTGTGACTCTTCTATAATTTTGTTGCTTTTTTAGTAAAAAGAAAACTTGTTTATATAGTACACTTGACCTATCCACTGTTTTGATGATTAAAATCGATGCATTTCATATTAATTTTGCACAGGTTAAGCACTTTTTTGTGGCTATACTATAATTTTGTTGCTTTTTTGTGAAAACAAGATTGTTTATGCAGTAAACTTGACATATTCACTGTTTTGATGATTAAAATAGATGCATTTTGTATTGACTTAATTTTGCACAGGTTAATCACTTTTTTGTGACTATATGACAATTTTGCTGCTTTTTTAGTCAAATAAACTTGTTTATGCAGTAAACTTGACATATTTTCTCTGTTTTGATGATTAAAATAGATCCATTACATATTAACTTAGCAGAGGTTAAGCACTTTTTTGTGACTATACTATAATTTTGTTGCCTTTTTTTTGTGAAAACAAGATTGTTTATGCTCTACACTTGACCTATCCACTGTTTTGATGGTTTATAATCGAGCATTTATATTAACTTGCACAGGTTAAGCACTTTTTTGTGACTATACTATAATTTTGTTGCCTTTTTTTTGTGAAAACAAGATTGTTTATGCTCTACACTTGACCTATCCACTGTTTTGATGGTTATAATCGAGGCATTTTATATTCACTTTGCACAGGTTAAGCACTTTTTTTGTGGCTATACTATAATTTTGTTGCTTTTTCATTCAAAAGAAACATATTTATACAGTAAACTTGACATATTCACTGTTTTGATAATTCAAATAGATGCATTTCATATTAACTTTGCACAGGTTAAGCACTTTTTTTTTACAACTATTTTATAATGTTGTTACTTTTTTTTGTGTAAAAAACAAGCTTGTTTATGCAGTACACTTGACATATTCACAGTTTTGATGATTAAAATAGATGCAGTTCATATTCACTTTGCACAGGTAGAGGTTCAACAAAGAAATATTGTCACAAAAATGCATTTGGTTCTTATAAAAACAGCACTATATCACAGATATATGTTGTCCTTGTCCTCATTTATTTATTATTAATTTATTTTTTCCATGCGGTCACATGAGAAACAGAAAATATTGTGGAGGGCAAAATGCTAAACTCAGTTCTGCATAATATTAATTGTATTTCTTTATAAAAAGCAGTAATATTGTTTTGAAGAGCTGGTCAGACTGGTCAGAGTTTATGTTATGACTAAACAATGAAAAAGTGAAGTTGCCTTACAAAAAAAGTCATTTGAAAAAAAACAAAAAACACCTTTAAAATAAAAGCACTGCAGCTTTAGTCCATGCATGAGGTAAAATTATTGAATATGTTTATTTTTATGATTCCAAATGATCTTAAACGGCCCAGTGAGTCAAACAAAGAGCCGTGTGGCCCAGGAGCTGAACAATCACAGGTCTGGTTTATAACAGTGAAAGACATTAAAACATGTGGACAGTGTTAAAACAAATTAAAACCAAATTAACCTCTCTCCAGTTTTATATTATTATATTTAACACAGATGGGAGCAGCTAAAATATATTCTGTTCACATGTAGAGCAACTTAAAGACATGATCAGTCTGTGTGTTCATTTACCTTTGAATATTCGTCAGTATTTCTCATTCTCACACTAGGTCAGAATTATTAAGAACATATTACTTTATTTGAGTAGATTCAACTTGACAAGTAAAATGAGCTACTGATGGAATATGTTTTTCTTTTTTCTTAATTCAAGCAACAGTCGATTTTGTTTCTTATTTTAAGTGCAGTAAGATGTATTTTCATATTTCAACACCAAAAACTTTTGTTCCACTGACAGATCATTTTATTTGTCAAGTGAAATTGACTCAACTCATGATAAATCTTTCTTAATTCGAGTCATCTTAACTTGACTAGATTTAGTTTTATGCAGTGTGGGGAAAGTCAGAATTAAAGTTGTCAGGGTTTTGTTGTAATATAGTGAGTTGTTGGGTGTTGTCACTCAGGATTGAGATGCATTTACTTTTTGGACAGGAAGGTGATCAATGACCCAACCCATGTTCTTCACAGTCAGTTTGAGTTGATGCCATCAGGCAGAAGGTTCAGGTCCCAAACTGTAAACTGAACAGATTCAAACATTCTTTTGTGCCACTAGCTGTTAAACTGCTAAACTCAGATAATGCAGTTAAAAAATAATTATAAAAGGCTTAGGGATTGTGCAATCAAAACTGCACATAGGTGTAGGGAATGTGCAATAATTATATCTAAAACTGCACATAGGTGTAGGGAATGTGCAATTAAAGCTACACATAGGCTTAAGGAATGTGCAATAATTAATCTGCACATAGGCTAAGGGAATGTGCAATAATTATAACTAAAACTGCACATAGGCTTAGGGAATGTGCAATAATTATAACTAAAATTGCACATAGGCTTAGGGAATGTGCAATCAAAACTGCACATAGGCTTAGGGAATGTGCAATCAAAACTGCACATAGGCTCAGGGAATGTGCAATAATTATAACTAAAACTGCACATAGGCTTAGGGAATGTGCAATCAAAACTGCACATAGGCTTAGGGAATGTGCAATAATTATAACTAAAACTGCACATAGGCTTAGGGAATGTGCAATCAAAACTGCACATAGGCTTAGGGAATGTGCAATAATTATAACTAAAACTGCACATAGGCTTAGGGAATGTGCAATCAAAACTGCACATAGGCTTAGGGAATGTGCAATAATTATAACTAAAACTGCACATAGGCTTAGGGAATGTGCAATCAAAACTGCACATAGGCTTAGGGAATGTGCAATAATTATAACTAAAACTGCACATAGGCTTAGGGAATGTGCAATAATTAATAGAACAGAAGAATGCAAGGGTTTGCCTGTTAAGGATAATTTAAGGTCCTGTTGGTGCATCACTCGTGGTCATACTGGTCTCATATTTACTTTGTTTTATGGTGTTTGTTTATGTGCTGCTTTGTGTTGTGTCGTCCTGTTTTTTGATCAAACATGTTACCCCCTGTCCCAAGACAAATTTCTCCCATGGGAGACAATAAAGGATTATCTTATCTTATCTTATCTTATCTTATCTTATTTAATCACAAAAAAGTACAACAAATATCTCTTGTGCCCCATCTGGGAGTTTGACATAATCACAACCTGGATTCTAAAAAACAACCAATGAGAATCTGTAGATGTCATGTCACGCAGATTGTACTGAAAGGTTGGTGCTTCCTATGGACTACGAAAGATTTCAGAAATGTTCACGTGCAAAAGATAAAAATCCGTGTATCTTTGGCTGTAACTGAGCATAAAATAAATATTCATAAACTTTTGAGTGAGTCCAGTCGTACATAAAAAGTGCCGAGTATTTTATCCATGAGAATACGGTTTGGATATGGTTTAGACTAGGTTCAGTTCTGGTTTAGACCTGGTTTAGTTCTGTTTTAGTCCTTTTCAATTTTAGTTTAGTCCTGCTGGTTTAGTCCTGGTTTAGTCTTGGTTTGGTCCAGTTTTAGTCCTGGTTCAATTCTGGTTTAGACCTAGTTTAGACCTAGTTTTAGTCCTGGTTCAGTCCTGTTTTAGTCCTAGTTCAATCTTGGTTTAGTTTTCCGGGTTTAGTCCTGGTTTAGACCTGGTTTTGTCTTGTTTTAGACCTAGTTCAGTCCTGGTTCAGTTCTCGTTTAGACCTGGTTTAGACCTGTTTTAGTCCCGGTTCAATCATGGTTTGGTCCTCCTGGTTTAGTCCTGGTTTAGACATGGTTAAGTGCTGTTTTAGTCCTGGTTCAATCTTGGTTTAGTCCTGGTGTAGTCCTGGTTTAGACCTGGTTTAGACCTGTTTTAGTCCTTGTTCAGTCTAGTTTTAGTCCTGGTTCCATCTTGGTTTAGTTTTTCTGGTTCAGTCCTGGTTCATTTCTCATTTAGACCTGGTTTAGTCCTGTTCAGTCCTGTTTTAGTCCTGGTTCAGTTCGCATTCAGTGTGAGACTCCAGCATCTCGATCGATGTTTCTTATCGACATATTTTGGACAGTTGAGTTGCGTCTGTGAATTCATATTCGTACTGAAGAAAGGCTAATCGTACATTTTCATTTCGTTATTGCAATTCTTGACGTTCTAACCTTCCAATTTGTATTCTGATGGACAAAATACACACATCTTATATTTTCTGTACGACTGAACTCATTCGAGAGTTTATGAATATTTATTTTGAGCTCAACTACAGACAAATATGTACACGGATATTTCTAAAATCTTTCTTAGTCCAGACGTGTCCTCCCTGTCTGTCCCTGTCTGTCCCTGTCTGTCCCTGCCTCTGTCCCTGTCTGTCCCTGTCTGTCCCTGTCTGTCCCTGTCCCTGTCTGTCCTCTGTCCTCTGTCCCTCTGTCCTCTGTCCCTGTCTGTCCCTGCCTCTGTCCCTGTCTGTCCCTGTCTGTCTGTCCCTGTCTGTCCCTGTCTCTGTCCCTGCCTCTGTCCCTGTCTCTGTCCCTGTCTCTGTCCCTCGCTCGTGTGGTGGTGCCTTGGCAGAGTCCTGGTTTAGTCCTGCTTTAGTCTTGGTTCAATTTTGGTTTAGTCCTGTTTTAGACCTGGTTTAGACCTGGTTTAGACCTGGTTTAGTCCTAGTGGTTTAGTCCTGGTTTAGTCCTGGATCAGGCCTGGTTTAGTCCTGGTTTAGTCCTGGTTTAGTCCTGGTTTAGACCTGGTTTAGTCCTGGTTTAGTCCTGGATCAGGCCTGGTTTAGTCCTGGTTTAGACCTGGTTTAGTCCTGGTTTAGACCTGGTTTAGTCCTGGTCCTGGTTTAGTCCTGGTTTAGTCCTGGTTTACCTGGTTTACCTGGTTTAGTCCTGGTTTAGACCTGGTTTAGTCCTGGTTTATGTTTACCTGGACCTGGTTTAGTCCTGGATCAGTTTAGTCCTGGTTTAGTCCTGGTTTAGTCCTGGTTTAGAGTCCTGGTTTAGACCTGGTTTAGTCCTGGTTTAGTCCTGGTTTAGACCTGGTTTAGTCCTGGTTTAGACCTGGTTTAGTCCTGGTTTAGACCTGGTTTAGACCTGGTTTAGTCCGTATGTGGCGCATCTCAATCGATGTTTCTTATGATGGACAAAATTCACATATTCGAGAGTTTACGAATATTTATTTTGAGCTCAACTAGAGACAGACATGCACACGGACATTTCTGAAATCTTTCTTCCTCCATACGTGTCCTCCCTGTCTGTCCCTGTCTGTCCCTGTCTGTCCCTGTCTGTCCCTGCCCCTGTCCCTGTCTGTCCCTGCCTCTGTCCCTGTCCCTGTCTGTCCCTGTCTGTCCCTGCCTCCGTCCCTCGCTCGTGTGGTGGTGCCTTGGCAGAGGTCTTACCCGTGTGGCTCCTCTTGTGCACCATCAGCACATTGGGGCCGATACACACTATGCCACAGATATCGCACTTGAGCTTGCCGTTGGGCAGCCTGATGCCTCCGGACGCGGGGTAGGCCTTGGGTCCCGGACTCGGCCCGGATCCGTTCATTTTGGGGGCGGACGGATCGACCACACGCAAGTCCTCTGCAAACTCCTCCTCCGCTACGTTCACGCCACTCTCCACGTCTGCGCCACTCTCTGCCTTTACGGCTACGGCTGCAAAACACCAGAGAGGAGGAGTCAGGTCGGGGGCCAGGGCATGCAGCGTACACAGGCTAATCATGGGCTCCCAGTCACACTAAGCAGCTGTGGGCGTCAAGACCGTCACTCGACTTCATCTGCGTTTTTGCTCTAACACAACCCGACCGTGAAGAAGAACCGGTTCAGCGGCGACTCGATCAAACGTTCCCGAAAATGTGCTGCTGAAATCCGCTTTTCTACGTTTCTAAAAAGACTAATCAGGCTGCGTTTTCCTCCATGCACTGCAAATTTCGCTGAGCTGGCCATGATTTTTGAAAGTTATGTCAGGTTATTCGTACACACCAAAAAAAACAAACAAAAAAAAGCCACAATGCACCAAAAAAAGCCACAATACACCAAAAAAAAAAAAAAAAAAAAGAAAAAACACAACACACCAAAAAAAGCCATAACACACCAAAAAAAGCCACAACACACCAAAAAAAAAAGAAAAAGAAAAAACACAACACACAAAAAAAAGAAGCCATGACACACCAAAAAAAGCCACAATACACCAAAAAAAAAGCCATAACGCACAAAAAAGCCACAAACCACCAAAAAAAAAGAAAGAAGAAAAAACACAACACACAAAAAAAAGAAGCCATGACACACCAAAAAAAGCCACAACACACCAAAAAAAAAAGAAAAAAGAAAAAACACAACACACAAAAAAAGAAGCCACGACACACCAAAAAAAGCCACAACACACCAAAAAAAGCCACAACACACCAAAAAAAGCCATAACACACCAAAAAAGCCATAACACACCAAAAAAAAAGAAAAAGAAAAACACAACACACAAAAAAAAGAAGCCACGACACACCAAAAAAGCCATAACACACCAAAAAAGCCATAACACACCAAAAAAAGCCATAACACACCAAAAAAAAAAAAAAGAAAAAAGAAAAAACACAACACACAAAAAAAAGAAGCCATGACACACCAAAAAAAGCCACAACACACCAAAAAAGTCACAACACACCAAAAAAAGCCATAACGCACAAAAAAGTCATAACACACCAAAAAAAAAAGAAAAAACACAACACACAAAAAAACAGAAGCCACGACACACTAAAAAAGCCACAACACACCAAAAAAGTCACAACACACAAAAAAAAGCCATAACACACAAAAAAGCCATAACACACCAAAAAAAAGCCATAACACACCAAAAAAAGCCACAACACACCCAAAAAAGCCACAACACACAAAAAAAAAAGCCACAACGGAAATGACCGCGGGACTCTATTTTCCGACGGACCGATCAAGCGGCAAGTGAAGAAGAAGAACTGCAACCTGAAAAGTAAAGGAACGGAGAAGTTGGAGACGTAAGTAAAGTAATTTATTGTTTTATCATTATTCGTTTCAGGTTGTAGTTCTTCTTCTTCACTTGCCGCTTGATCGGTCCGTCGGAAAATAGAGTCCCGCGGTCACTTCTGTTGTGGCTTTTTAATGTGTTGTGGCTTTTTAATGTGTTGTGGCATTTTAATGTGTTGTGGCATGTTGTTTGTGTTTGTGTTGTGGCATTAGTTTTTGTTGAGGCGTTTGCATTAAAATAGAGTCCCGCGGTCATTTCCGTTGTGGCTTTTTTTGTTGTGTTGTGGCGTTTGCGTTTGTTGTGACCCCTCTTCATTCAGGACTGAACCAGGACTAAAACAGGACTAAAACAGGATTAAACCAGGACTGAAACAGGACTGAACCACGACTAAACCAGGACTGAACCAGGACTGAAACAGGACTGAACCAGGACTGAACCAGGACTAAAACAGGACTGAACCAGGACTGAACCAGGACTGAACCAGGACTGAACCAGGACTGAACCAGGACTGAACCAGGACTAAAACAGGACTAAAACAGGACTGAACCAGGACTAAACCAGGACTGAACCAGGACTGAAACAGGACTGAAACAGGACTGAACCAGGATTTGAACCAGGACTGAACCAGGACTAAACCAGGACTGAACCAGGACTGACTGAAACAGGACTGAACCAGGATTTGAACCAGGACTGAACCAGGACTAAAACCAGGACTGAACCAGGACTGAACCAGGACTAAAACAGGACTGAACCAGGACTAAACCAGGACTGAAACAGGACTGAACCAGGACTGAAACAGGACTGAACCAGGACTGAACCAGGACTGAACCAGGACTAAAACAGGACTAAAACAGGACTGAACCAGGACTAAACCAGGACTGAACCAGGACTGAACCAGGACTGAACCAGGACTAAACCAGGACTAAAACAGGACTGAACCAGGATTTGAACCAGGACTGAACCAGGACTGAACCAGGACTAAAACAGGACTGAACCAGGACTGAACCAAGACTAAAACAGGACTGAACCAGGACTGAACCAGGACTAAAACAGGACTGAACCAGGACTAACCCAGGACTGAAACAGGACTAAAACAGGGACCAGACCGTGACTGAAACCAAGACTGAGACCAGGACCAGACCGGGACTGAGATCGGGACCAGACCAGGACCAGACCAGGATTGAAACCGTTTTAGTCCTGGTTCAGTCCTGCTTTAGTCCTGGTTCAGTCCGGCATTACAGTTTAACTCACGGAAACAGGAAACATTCGTTATCCTTTTTTTTTTTTTCCATTTTTGAAAACTGAAAAAAAAACAAATCATTATCTATTTTTATAATGATACACGTGTTCTGAACATTCCACCATAGACACACATGTAGAACCCCCCCTTCCCTGGCGTGCTGTAAAGTCATACTACAACAGGATCAGTTCTGAAGCTCACGTTTACAGCGCAGTCGGTTTGTATAAACGTTCTAAAACTGGACGGCGTTATGATTTCACGGGTCTCAGAATGACGGGGTGTTAGGACCGTTGCCGTAGCGATTGGCAATTAAAAATAAAATAGAAACCATGATTCAGCCGCGTCGACGAACCTTTTCCTAATAACTTTTACAATACAGGATGCGAAACAGCAGCGGGGGAAGAGAGAAGTGAACTTAAAACTTAAAACACACACAAACACACAGGATCTTATGTGACGAAAACAAAGACGGAGGATTTTATTTTTGATACTGAACGTTTTCTGATCATCACCGTAGAGTCGTGTTTACACGAACGTGACCCGGGATAAATCTGGGTCAGACCATTAGTCTGACAGTCCAGTAGTCCAGGACTGAACCAGGACTGAACCAGGACTGAACCAGGACTGAACCAGGACTGAACCAGGGACAGGACTAAACCTACGCCATGTCATTAGTGGATTATAAATATATGCACAACGCAACTGCAGAGTCAATCGCCAGGACTAGACCAGGACTAAACCAGGTCTAAACCAGGACTAACCAGGTCTAAACCAGGACTGAACCGGGACTACACCAGAACTACAACCAGGACTGGACCAGGACTGAACCAGGACTAAACCAGGCACTGAAACCAGGACTGAAACCAGGACTAAACCAGGACTGAACCAGGACTGAACCAGGACTAAACCAGGACTGAACCAGGACTGAACCAGGACTGAACCAGGACTAAACCAGGACTAAACCAGGACTAAACCAGGACTTAACTAGGTCTAAACCAGGACTGAACCGGGACTACACCAGAACTACAGGACCAGGACTGGACTAAACCAGGTCTAAACCAGGTCTAAACCAGGTACTAAACCAGGACTTAACCAGGTCTAAACCAGGTCTAAACCAGGACTAAACCAGATCTAAACCAGGACTAAACCAGGTCTAAACCAGGACTAAACCAGGACTGAACCAGGACTAAACCAGGACTGAACCAGAACTGTACCAGGACTACACAAGGACTAAACCAGGACTACACCAGGACTGACCCAGGTCTAAACCAGGACTAAAACAGGACTAAAACAAGACTAAAACAGGACTAAACCAGGTCTAAACCAGGACTAAACCAGGACTAAACCAGGACTGAACCAGGACTAAACCAGGACTGAACCAGGTCTAAACCAGGACTGAACCAGGACTAAACCAGGACTGAACCAGGACTAAACCAGGACTAAACCAGGACTGAACCTTAAACTCCACACATCTTCACTAGAATCATTTGGATCATTTCAGCTCTGGAATTGCTGAATCTCTACTGAACTAAACTTTTAAAGTTCACCTGTTCACTTCACAACTACCAATTCATGACATCACACGGTGGAACGGAGCATTTTGAGCTTTGGAGACGTAAACAGAACATACGTGAAAGAAACAAAACACAACTCCAGGTCTGTTTTTGAGGAAATAACCGCATCATAACACGACTTAAATCTCACAAGAGTCCATTTTTTTTGCGCGATTTAACATCTTTCAACTTTACATTTCTACTTTTTGGAGTGAAGTGAAACTGTTTTTGTGCGATGAAAACTTTGTACTTTTCCAGAGACGTACATTCGCAGGTGTCTGATTGATCTGGTGTAGATTCTGCGTCGCACTTTGACACGATAAACAGGAAGTGAGAGACAGGAAGAGGCTCGGTGAAATACAGGGACGACTGCTCCACCACAACCACGTTCACTCTGGCCTATTTCAGCTTCAGCCTGCAGCACAAACACATGACCCGCTCTGCGCTCGCTCTACCTGGACTAAATGTAAAGTAAATGTAGAAGCTCTAACTGAAACATGATTTGTAAACTCGTAAACTCCTTATTTTCTGTTCACGTCAAGCCGCTGTATTTATCTGTACTGCAAACCTGCACACACGTTTACATTTAAAATACTTCTGAACACTTTAGCGCAGTGTTTCACAAGCTTTTATTTCCTGCGTGTGCATGTTTTAAAGTCAATAGACATTAATAAATGAAGTTAAATCACAAAATAAAGGTGGATCTGACCATTGTTGAACATTAGGCTGCATCATTTGCCCCAGTGTCAGAAATTCAACTTGTACCTAATTTTAAAATGTGACAATGCAAAAAAAATAAAATAATAAAATGCAAAAAAATAAATAAATAAATAAATAAATAAATAATAATAATAATAATAATAATAAT